ACGTTTAGGAAAAAGGAAAAAAGTTACAGGAAAGTTTGGAGGGAGATGGGGGGGGGGGGATATAAAAATAAAAGAGAGATTTTGGGTGATTATTAAGAAGAGAAAAAAAAACAAAATCTTAAATGTAGGGAAGGGTTATTGAAAATGGCGGTGTGTGTCGTGTAACTGACATGCTAAATAGGGATCTTGAATTTTTTTCTTTTTTATGATTTTGTATATAACTTGTAAATATAGATATACAAAGTAATTAATAAAAAAATTAAATAAAAATGACAAATGGGTTTCTATTATAGTATAACGAGATACGTTAAATCTTAAATATGGAGCCTAAAAGTAATAAATTCGGACCGGATAGCTTCTTATTCCTCAATGATGTTGCTTCATGGTTACGTTAGATAGCAATGATGTGCTATGATTCGTTGAATTGGTTCGATTTTAATCAAAAGTATACTTTGAACTTAGCAGAACAATTGAGTGAGAGATTCTTTGTTGATTTGGTACCATTTTGGCAAAAATATCTTGGCATATCTCACTTTCTTTCTTTTTCTTTGTTCTTTTGAAAAAAATGTACTCCACTTTTGTCCTCTCAATTGTATAATAAAAAGTAAAGGCTAGTGTACAAATGACCTAGCCAAGTATATTATTAATTTACTTAAGGAAAAATATACGCTCAAATACAATTGATATCATGATGCTATCAAAATTGCCTCATATTTTTAAATACTACCAAAACGAGCTTACATTGTATATGATATGTAAAAATTATTTCACCCTTTAGCCCTAGTAGTTGCTAACAAGAAAAACAAATAATAAAAAGACTTTCCCTCGTTTCTTCGCTGCCTCCTCACTCTTTCCATCATCTTCTCCACCAGAACCCCTTCCCTTTTCATCGTCTTCCATTACTTTCTGTTCCTATATTTTCACAGAAAATATTTTCTCACCTATCTTATTTTTTTCTTTGTCACACCACACAAGTTGTATCCTTTGAATTTAAATTGTAGTTTTAGATCTGAAAAAGCCATCTTCGTTGAAGCTCAAATCTCCATGATATGGGCCATGGATGTCCCTGTGCATTAAACTCAATTGTGTGAAGAATTTTGGACGGAAAATTTTCGATTCTACTGCTGGGTTCTCTAAAAAATCGACTTGAATGTTTTGAAATTTTTTAATTCGAATAACATTGTGACTATATTCTTCAATTTGGATGGGTGTTGATTAATAATGGTATTATTAATTGGTGAGGCAAATTTTTGGTGTTAAAATAGAGGTGTGGCGAAGGACATAAGGTGTTTTCTAGTTTAAATTTTGTATAATTGGTATTTATACACACTTATACAATATTGTATAATTGTATATAAATATGTATATTTGTGTATAATGTTATATAAATATATTTTTTTATTATACAATATTGCGTGTGTGTATGTGTGTGTGTATACATATATATTATTATATATTGTTATTGTATAATTGGGGTCCATGAAAGTTTGATACTTTCTTCTCCTCTTCTCTTCTTCTTGTTTTTCTTATTTTTTTTTATATACATTATTATATATTTCATATATAAAGTTATTCATTATTATATATATAATGTACATGTACAATTAAAACTAAAATTGAAATGTTTGTATTTATTCTTACTTTTTCTCGGAAAATCTATTTATAAAATCAATTTATTTNTGGAGAGATTAGAGAATTGAAAAGGAATGAAAAAGAAGATCAAATAAAGAAAAAATAGTAGATTATTTTCTATTCTCTTTTTAGTTTCTTTACTATTCACTTAATTTTTATTAAATATTTTACTATTTAATGAAAAGAACAAATCAAATGTATATAATACATTCATATATGAAATATTTAGGTGAACTAAGAATCACGTATTAAAACTGTATGCGCACACCTCTCCCCCACACAAAAGTACGAATCTCATTATTATCTTTTATAAAAAAAATTATGCAATGGAAAATAAAATATTTGAGCTCAACTTCTAAATAAGAATATTGTATTTTTTGACTTGATCAATATATACAATTGTTTTTTATATGCATTTAAGTATAAAAAAAATTATCTCTCCTATTAGATTAAATTTATAAATAATTATTTTAAATTCTGCGATATTTATTATAACTGCGCGAAGCGCGGGCAAATTCTCTAGTGTACAATAAACTTCAATTAGTTGAGGTGTGCCCACACAATGTCGGACAATAACGGGCGAAGTACACTGGTAGCCACTTTTAATCCTACTATTTAAAATATATTCATAATTCATAATATATTTAAAAAATTAGCCAATTCATTTAAATTTCAGGACAAAGTCATCTAAATTTTAGTATCCTAAATTTTTGAGCAGCTAATTAGAAATTCAGGACTTAGCTAAAGTTTAGACCTAAATTTGGTTGAAACTTGAAAAAAAAAAATGAGATGAAAAATAATTTTTCGAAGTTAAAATTGTGTTAAGACATGTAATCTACTTTGAAAAAGAATTTGAAATTTTGTGAGTGAAAACTTCAAAAACTACTCTAGAACTGTTTTGTGATTTGAAGATTACCTTTTTTCTTAATCCGTGCAAAAAGAAGATCCCTTTTTGTATTTGAAAATAATTTACTTTTATACAATCATTTATAGGCATACAACATATATGGAGTCAATTACTCAAATGGTCACTCAACTATTCGAAATTATCTCCTAAAGTCACTTTTCTTTCGTTTGTAACAACAAAGTCACTGAATTATGCCTATTGCACTCTGAAGGTCACTCAATTAGATTTTCCAAAATTTTAGATTGCCAAATACCTATTTTACCCTCTAATTATAAACATCTATCTTCTTTTTATTTTTTTTAAACTTTTTAGTATTAACAATAAAAATTCAAAATTTTATTTACACAATTCAGAATGAAAGAAAATAAAGGTTGTAAAATATATATTTTCATGCACGTAATATAAAAATAATTATTTAAATAAAGTTATTTTTATAATATACATTATATATTCTTGAAAATTATGCTCAAATATTATTATGTTTCTACCAACATTCTGACGACATAAAGTTATGTCAGCGGAAAGCGGGGGGCTATCTGTATAGAGTAAAATANATTGCTTCCACTTCTTCACAATTTTACATTAAGAAAAGCAAATTCAAATATAAAAGCCTTACATGTTTTCAGAAAATAAATGCCACCATTGAAGTTGATTGTTTCAATTGGAATCTGTGCAAAGCGTAGGAATTTATGAAGAAGGAATAATAGTGGTAATTGATGGTGTAAAAAAGCTTTTTTCAGACCTTAGCCTTTTATCTTTGGGCTATAAATTTGTAAAGTTGTAATTGGGCTAACTAATTGCAATATATGTGTATGATTTGTACTTATGTGTAATTCTCCCCATTTATAAACGATTTCTTTTTTTAAAGAAAACTTACTATCTAGAACCAAGAAATACACTTTTGAAATTCTTTTTCTTATTA